GTAGGAGAAGAGATGGATGAAAAAATAAAACATTGCCAATTATTGAAGCTGGGTGAAGGGTATCTTGGGATTCATTATACTCTGTTTTTTCCCTGTTTTGATGTGTGTCTGGAAATTTTATATTAAACACACACACACACACACACACACACCCCTGTTAAAAAACCAGCAATGGCGATGTGATATTGCACGCGGGTTTTCTGGCCCTAGCTGTTGTTTACTTAGTAGCGTGGGTAATGTGTGTGGAGCTTTCTCTGATAGAGTTAGTTGAAAAGGAAGTCCTAGAGTTGGGAGAGCGCTGCTAGTAGAAGGTTCCTGGACCTCCTAAAGCCCACCCAGGGGTGCCCCTTCTTTTCCCTAGAGGCTTAACCTCTCCAATTGTGTGTGTAAAATGGTGGGCACAAATGGGTCTTTCTGGGAGGAGCAAGTCTGTGGCCCAGAAAAGGCAGTGTCACAACTCTGCATTGCATGGGATTTCTTGGGGCTGGGGCGGGGGGGTGGTTGGCGTGGGAAGGGATGAGGCTGGGGGCAGGGTGGTGCAAACGCAGCAGAGGGCAGAGTCCCTTGTTTCTGGGTCCCACTGGATCGGACTGAGGTGGGAGGTGGAGCTGCCCACACCTGGTATCGTCTTGGAAGATGCCTGGGGCCTTCCTACTCCCAAAGAAGGGTCCCCTGTGTTCAGTGAGAGTGGCCCTGACTCTGAGAGTGGAGTATGGGGCCGGCCTTGGATCAGAAATGCCGTGGTCAGACCTGGGAGGCCCTTAGAGTCGCTGGATCTATGGAAAAAGCGAGGCACAGAGACCAGGGAGTGAGTACAAGATCACAGGCCAGGGAAAGGCAGAGGCTGTGGGCGGCCCCTGCCCGTGACAGTTCAGTGTTCCCTCCCCTGCCAGAGCAGAAGGAGACCAGGCAGGAGAGGCCCGCGCGATGAGGTTTGGCTGCCTGTTGCTGCTTGCCTTTTGGCGTGTGGGTAAGGAAGAGGGGGTGCACAGAGCAGAGACCACAGCCAGGGTGGGCGTGTAATCATCACACCTCACTGCATCCTGCAACCTCACCTCCTGTTGGCTGCCTCCTCACATTAAGCTGCAGCCAACCAGGCAGGAATTCTGAACAGGCAAAGACACAGGACTAAGAGCTGCACTACAGGATATGCCCACTAGAGGACAGCAGGAGAGCCATTGCGGTCGCTCAGCCTGAGAAGGTAGCCTGGCTGGGAGAGAAGCCCCTAAGGAAGGGATGGTGGGCAGAGGCCTCCTGCCAGAGGTCTGGGCACAGTGGTCAGGGAGAGTGTGTGCCACAGTCAGTGCTGATTTGTTCTGGGGCGTACCTCGAGATAAAAACCAAATACTACATGTAATGATAATAGTCAGTTACATTCATTGAGTGCTTACTCTATGCTAGACACTATTAATTAATCCTCATGACAGCATTGTTAAAATGATCCCCACTTTGCAGGTGGGAAAACAGAGGCCAAGCGAGATTAAGAAACCTGGCCATCAATAGGGCTGGTGTCAGAGTCCCATGTCCCAAGCCCAAGGCTGTGCCATATTCTATGCCTGGCATTGACTAAATGCTTGAAGTTCTTCGATTCTATGATGAGACCCACTTTACAGATGGGGAAACCTAGACTCAGAGACAGTGCGTCACCCGGGTCCACACACCTGCTAAGTGACATCTAAGTGAGTGTGGTTCCATGGCTTGAGCTCTTAGCTCTGAATTGTAGTTCTCCCATGAAGAGGTGTTTTCCATTCCCTCCCCTCACCATGCCACAATCTGCCCTAATATTGAGGTGCCTGACATGGAAATCTGAGCTTTCAGCTGGGGGGGCGGGGGGAGTTCACCAACTCTCCCACTTCCAACAGAAGTTGCAGATTCCAGGTCTAAGATTTGCCTGGATTTCAACTAAGCAGAGGGAGAGGGAGGCCATACCAGAGGCTGCTAGAAGCTCAGAGTCTGGCTTTGAGGTGTAGGGCATTGCGGCGTCCCTTGCAGTGACCAAAGCTCCCCTGGGACAATGGGACCTGGTCCCAGGGCCTCTGTTTTCCAGGGCACATGCCTCTAGCATACCAAGAAGGCTTGGCAGCCCTGGCCCCTGCTCTGCCAGGCCGGCAGGACAGCAGGGACATTTCTCGGAGGACCTGACTTCCTCCATCCTGCCGTTCCCAGGCCCTGGCGTTGCCCTTCTGGGGGAAAGGCGATGGCCAGCAATGGGGCCTTTGAGCACATTCCCCTCCTTGGTACCCAGGCTGCACCTTATGAATCTGAGTCCCACTTTCTTAGGGATTTATAGCATCGAGATGCTCCAGTTACTTCTGCTTCATTAGCAAAGGCAGCAGCTTCCCATCCTGCCTTAAGTTACTCTGGGTGGGGGCGGGGAAGGAAAACACTGAAATGGTCCCCTCCCTGCAGCATGCTGCTCTTTAATCTGTTTCTGGAACTGGAATCCTATAGTTAAACGAAGTCTCTTTAAGGGTTCTGTTTCCTGTCTTGGTGGGGACCAAAGGGGGTGGAATGTGAGTGGAATAGGGATCAGGGAGGAGGATTTGAGCATGGACTCCAGAGCACAGTGCCTGGGCTGGAATCCTGGCTCTACCCCCTACTAGAAACTTATCAAACCTTTCAGAGCCTCAGCTTCCTTATCTGTAAAATGGGGATATTACAGCATCAGTCTTACATGGTTGGCATGAGGGTGAGATGAGCTGCTGCCTGTGAAGGGAGCACGTGCCCGGGAGAAGCATCATGAGTGCCCAGTAAGTGCTTGCCTTCCTTTGTGCTGTTTCACCCATAGTGCCTGTCTCATGCTGAGCCGTTGGCAGATGTCTGCCCCCTTCTAATGTCCAGTCCCTCTCTCACCGATTCACAAATGGGCTGGGGACATGGATCAAATGCATGTTTGAAGGCCAAGTATGTGTAAGCTGGAGGAGCAGAAAGTCAAATCTCCTTCGAGGGAAAACTGTGTGGGCTCTGGGGAACCTGCTAGATGTGGGTTAACCTAGACGTGAGCTCAAGCAGTTTCCTCTACTCTCTGTGCCTCAGCTGCCCGTGAAATGAAGCTTATACTGGCTTCCACATGAAGTTCTTGCGAGGAATAAATGAGCTCTCAGATAAAGGGCTTAGCACGTAGGCTGCACTCAATAGATGCTAACTACAATAACGCGATGATCTTGGTGTTTTAACTTAGAATCCTCGCAGAGCATGAAGGTCAGGTTTACTTTTGCTTTGAATTGCAGGTAGCCTTTCTCTGTCCGGCGTGGTTGGCAGAAGAACCTCCCTCCCCAGCTGTCCCTTCCTGCAGGGCTCCGCATCCTGGCTGCTGCGACTGAGCTGCCACCCCCCTGGAGGTGTGAGGTGAGGCCCCCTGCCCTTGCTGATTTCCACTAACCCCCTCCTGGGTAGTTACTGAACAAGCTGGAATTTGAAAGGTCAGGCTGTTCTATTGATTTAAAAATGCAGAACCAGCCGGGATTGTGTGCCAGCCCAATTTTTGGGATAAGTTTGACATTTTGTTCCATCATTAGAGGCTGAACGCTGAGGCTGGTTGGGTGGGTCTGGTCATCAGAGCTGAATGGACAGAACTAGCTAGGCCGGGGGTGTTTGTGGCCAGCGGATCTCTTTGCAGCTCCATTGTGTGATGAGTGTGTGTGGGTGCCTCTCTGGGGTGTTTTCCCATGTGGGGTACCAACTCTTGGTCAGGTAGGGGTGCAAGCTTGACAGCTGTCTGCCCCCTGGGTTCTGGTGTGAGCAGAGGACTATGGCTGGTTAGGAGGGCATGGGTAGGTAGGTGTGGGAGGTGAGAGGAGGGAGTATGATGTAGCCCAGGACTCAGGGGGCTGGATGCATCGGGTCAGAGATGGCATTGGGTTATTTGGAGCCCTGAGTCAGTGATAGATATGGGAGAGCAGGCAGCACCTTCATCACCCAGCCCTTGGAGACAGGGGGAAGTCAGTAGAGCACAGGACACAGGAGAGCAGGGGTAGGAAGGGAGGTGCTGGGAGCCCAACCCCATTTACAGACTCCCTTCTCTCCCTGTCTCTGCAGTTTGCTGGCCACAGGGCTGCTGCGCAGGAGACCTGGCGGCTGTGGACTCCCCAGCACGGAGCAGCCCCTCTTTGGTGAGTGGTGGGTCCCTCCCTGCATTGGCCCTTGGAGCAGCCCCAGCCCTCCCCCAGGGCCTGCAGCTGAACTAGCCTCTCTTGGGGGACTTCCAGATGTTCAGGTTGGCTCCTGGCCCCAAACCCTGGGCACACCGTTCACTTTCACGGCTCTCCTCACCCCCATGCTTTCCTTGGGGTGCTCCTTCTGGTCCACCCCCTCCTCTTCTCTCTGGTTCTCTGGGGCCATTGCTGGGCTACTGGTGGGTCCCCGAACTCACTCTGTGCACAGAAGGGGCTGAGGGCCCTTGAGGACTGGCTGAGGCGGAGGGGCCAGTTAGTTCAGCTGTCAGTGGGGGTCGTCTGCCCATGGCCTGGACCTCTTCCCCTGTGTGGCTGGGAGCAAACCAGGAGGACACTGGGGCCTGGGAAAGGATGATTCTCAACAGCCTGTGGCCTTGTCTCTGCTCTGGGCCAGGTGACTCTTAGAGCCCCCACAGGCCCCAGGAGTCTTCATCTGGAGTAAGCTGGTCACTGCATCCGTAAGTCAGGGGATGGTGGTGGCTGACACAGTTGTCCTCAGCGGGCGTGGCCGAGTGGATGTTGGCAGCTCACCGACTCACCAGGCACCAGGGTCCTTTCTGCACGGGCTCAGGAGGCATCTGACATGGACTCTTCTCCCTCCAGGGGGTGAACAGGGATGGAGGAAAGATGACCACAGGGTCAGTTTGTGAGGGTGGAAGGAAGATGCAGGTGGGCCCAGGAGATGCCAGCAGGGGCGACAGGCAGTGGCAAGGGAATGGCCACACCCTGTATGTGGGGTTGGGGAGTTAGTTTCTTGCCCTAAGGGCCCCTCCTTTCTGCTGGGAGGCCTGCAGCATTCCGTAGCTTAAACCCTGCAGGACAGGGTCCAGGGAATCAGTTGGTTCAGTCCAGTGACTCCCCCAGAGAATGGTGCAGCCTAGGGTAGAAGCTACTTGGGCCTTAGGTGCAGTGAGTGAGCCCTGGGCAGGGAGCAGCGGGTACTTCCTTACACCCCCCTGGAGTCTGACTCTTACTCTGTGTGAGGCACCTAAGCCTGGCTGCCCCCTGATGGCTGCCCGCCTTTGCCCGCAGAGCTCGAAAGGTGGAGAAGCAGCCCCATGAAGGTGCCCAGCCATGCAATGTTCCTGGAAGGCCGTCCTCCTCCTCGCCCTGGCCTCCATCGCCATCCAGTACACGGCCATCCGCACCTTCACCGCCAAGTCCTTACACACCTGCCCGGGGCTGGCCGAGGCGGGACTGGCCGAGCGGCTGTGCGAAGAGGGCCCCACCTTCACCTACAACCTCTCCCGCAAGACCCACATCCTCATCCTGGCCACCACGCGGAGCGGCTCCTCCTTCGTGGGCCAGCTCTTCAACCAGCACCTGGACGTCTTCTACCTGTTCGAGCCCCTCTACCACGTGCAGAACACGCTCATCCCCCGCTTCACCCAGGGCAGGAGCCCCGCGGACCGGCGGGTCATGCTGGGCGCCAGCCGGGACCTCCTGCGGAGCCTCTACGACTGTGACCTGCACTTCCTGGAGAACTACATCAAGCCGCCGCCCGTCAACCACACCACCGACCGGGTCTTCCGCCGCGGGGCCAGCTTCCCATAGATACCTCATCCTCCCGTGGGGGCTTCAGGAAATTCTTATTCAAAGCGCAGCCACGTGGCCATCAAGACCGTGCGGGTGCCCGAGGTGAACGACCTGCGCGCTCTAGTGGAAGACCCCCGGCTGAACCTCAAGGTCATCCAGCTGGTCCGAGATCCGCGGGGCATCCTGGCTTCCCGCAGCGAGACCTTCCGGGACACCTACCGGCTCTGGCGGCTCTGGTACGGCACCGGGAGGAAGCCCTACAACCTGGACGTGACCCAGCTGACCACGGTGTGCGAGGACTTCTCCAACTCCGTGGCCACCGGCCTCATGCGGCCCTCGTGGCTCAAAGGCAAGTACATGCTGGTGCGCTACGAGGACCTGGCCAGGAACCCCATGAAGAAGACGGAGGAGATCTACGGGTTCCTGGGCATCCCCCTGGACAGCCACGTGGCCCGCTGGATCCAGAACAACACGCAGGGCGACCCCGCCTTGGGCAAGCACAAGTACGGCACCGTGCGCAACTCGGCGGCCACGGCCGAGAAGTGGCGCTTCCGCCTCTCCTATGACATTGTGGCCTTTGCCCAGAACGCCTGCCAGCGGGTGCTGGCGCAGCTGGGCTACCGGATGGCCGCCTCGGAGGAGGAGCTCAAGAACCCCGCCATCAGCCTGGTGGAGGAGCGGGACTTCCGCCCCTTTTCGTGACAGGGGCTCTGGGGTGGGCGTGAGGGGCACCTGGTGTCGGTTTTGATAAAATGGACCGTTTTTTAACTGTTGCCTTATTTCCCCTTCCCTCTTCCACCCTGTCTTTGTGTCCTTCCTGACCCCTTGCCCCCCCTCCCCTGTCCCCCCGACTTCCTCTGCCTCGTTTGTCTCTGAAATTTGCACTATGTCTTGGACAGGAATCACTGGGGCAGAGGGGGAGTCA